CAACCCCCCCCCAAAAACACACACAAAAACCTACACAAACCTCACACAAACCCCACACAAACCCCCCCAAAAACACACAAAAACCTACACAAACCTCACACAAACCCCACACAAACCCCACACACAAACCCCACACAAACCCCACACAAACCCCACACACAAACCTCACACAAACCCACACAAACCCCACAGAGAAACACACAAACCCTACAGAAACCCCCCACAAGAACCCACACAAACCCCACACGCAAACCCCACACAAACCCCCCCGAAAACACACACAAAAACCCACACAAACCCCACATAAAACCCCACACAAACCCCAAAAAAACACACACACAAACCCACACAAACCCCACACACAAACCCACACAAACCCCCCCCAAAACACCCACACAAACCTACACAAACCCCACACAAACCGCACACACAAACCCACACAAACCCCACATAAAACCCCACACAAACCCCCCACACAAACCCCACACACAAACCCCACACACAAACCCACACAAATCCCCCACAAACCCCACATAAAACCCCACACAAACCCCACAAAAACCCACAAAACCCCCCGACAGGCCTGCCCACCTTGTTGGCCAGCAGCAGGCAGGGCACGGGGCTCCCGTCTGGCAGCAGAAGTTTGCTGTCCAAGTCCTGCTTCCACTTCTGGCTGTTGCTGAAGGTGCTGGTGTTGGTGACATCGAACATGATCACACAGGCCGAGGCCTCCCTGTAGTACAGCCGGGTCATGGACGTGAAGCGTTCCTGCCCTGAGGAGTCCAAACCATAAAAAAACACACCTCTCCAGTCGCTGTTTTGGGGTTTGTTCGTGTAAACGATGTGTTTATCCGTTATTTTCGCAGCTGGCGCTAATGAGGTCTGGTTAATTGATGTGGGAGTTCAGGGTCTGGATGGGTTCTGGCTTGGGTGTCTCTGTGTTGGGTAGGTCTCAGATCATGGAATGGTGAAATTCTGGGTTTGTTTGGGTTAAAAAGGAGCAAAGATCACTCAGTGCCATGGGCAGGGACACCTTCCCCTATCCCAGGGTGCTCCAAGTGGTCTGGGACGCTTCCAGGGATGGGGAAGGCCCAATATTTGCATTATTCCCAGGGTAACTCAGTCCCCTGCAGCCACCCTGGCTGCCACAAGGGCACAGTGCCAGCATGGCCCCTCTGCTCCCCAAACTCAAACTCCTTTTTGGGGCCAAAACTGAAATCAGCTTCTTGCAGCATTGCTCACTCCGCCAGCTTCTCCTTCCTGTTCCCTCTTTATGGATTCCAGGCACCCGAGCAGCAAAACCAGAGGAAACCACAGCCCTGTTTTTCTTCCCTGCTCCACATCCAGAGGTGCCATTTTAGAGATGCTGCTGCCTCAGGCCTCTCCCGGTGCCAGGGAATTTGGGAAATTCATTTCTCTACCCCTCTCCAAGGAGCAGGAGCTCCTCATTCCACTCCAGATCGCCTAATTCTGTCCCTCAGAGTGCATCTCAGGCCACAAATTTGGATTTTAACACAAGATTTGGAGTTGAGCAGCCTCATATCCAGCCAGTTCCACATTCCCTCTGCTCTGGCTCCGGAACAGAAAGGAAAGGCTTGGCAGGAATTACTGTGGGCATTCCTTGCAGGTGGATTTTTAATTAAATATTTAAATTGACTATCACAGGCTTGAGGCAGCAAAGCAGAGCAGTCCTGCCCCTGGAATCCACTGGCTCCTGGGATTTATTTTGGGAGGAGGAGGAAAAGGAAGAAAAAGGAGGAGCAAAGGGGAAGGGAAGGGAAGGGAAGGGAAGGGAAGGGAAGGGAGGCAGAGGAAGAGGAAGGCAAAAAAGGCCAAAACATTGAGAACTTTAAAAAACCCTTCAAAATACCTGCAATGTCCCAGAGCTGCAGCCGAATGGTCTCCGACTCCGACCACTGAACCACCTTCAGCGCAAAATCCACTGGAGAATTCCCAAAAAACCAGAAAGGAAACCTGACCAGGGCCATTCTGCACCACGGGGCTCATTCCTCACCAGCCTCTCCCCATCTCCCAGAGCACCAACCCAGCTCCAACCTTTCAGAATCCTGGATCAGGGTCATCACCCCGTGCACAATTCCAGGCTGAACAGGGCTTGGAGAAACCTGGGATAGGGAAAGGTGTCCCAGCCCATGGGGTGAGAGGAGATGTGAGGTCCCTTCCAACCTGAATCACCCCGTATTTGCCATAAGCAGGCTGGTGAGTCAAAAGGGGAAGCCCAATGTTGTTCTCAGATGTGTCAGGGTTTCACTGCAGGGCAAAACCTGCCCTGCTTTACTGGCAGCCAGACCCAGCCGGGCTGGGACTGACCAAAACCAGGAACAAAGTACAGAAAAAAGTACCAGAAACCAGTCTGCAGCATTTCCTGCTGCGAGAGACCACGGGCACAGCCCGCAGCTCCGTGGCTCCCCAGCGTTTCCCACCTCTAATCCATCCCCTCTCAGGTCAGGAATAAGGAGATTTAAACAACTGTGCTCAACCCCCACGATTTTGGGTCCTTGGGGAGATTTCTTGGGTAAACCCTTGGCAGCTCCTGCTCCTCCCAGGTTATTAATTTACACAAAGAACCAAAATCCTGCTCAGCCCCACTCCCAGCCTCCCCTTCACAGATGTTCCCAAGCGCTGCTGACCCCTCAGCAGCGAGGCCAGGCTGTTCAATTAATGCCAAACCAGCGCTGCTGCTGGTTTTACTGGGATGAGCTGAGCCTGTACCCTCAGACTACGCAGTTTACAGCTCCTGGGGGGGTTATTCCAAGGATGGGGCACCCCAAATGAGCCGGGCAGAGCCACAGAAGCTCCTGGGGGCTCAGGGCTGTTCAATTAATGCCAAACCAGCGCTGCTGCCGGTTTTACTGGGATGAGCTGGACCTACAACCCCAGTCTGTCCATCTCACAGTTCCTGGGGTGGTTATTCCAAAGGGTGGGAGAAGGATGGGACACCCCAAACGAGCCACAGAATCCCCCGGGGGCTCAGGGATGAAGGTCTGGGACTTGATACCCCATAAACCACGGATGATGCGCGGCTGTTCCTACCCCAAATCCCCAACCCCACAGCCAGGGGAGGACGGGGGGAGAGAGGGGCGAGTTCCCCCGGGAGCAGGGGCGAGTTGAGGGCGCTCCGGGCAGGGCGCGGCTCGGGATGCGCACCGGGATGGGCGCGGTGCCGCACCCCAGGAAACCCCCAGGAAACCCCCGGGAACTCAGGGACCCCCAGGGCTCACCTCCCACGGTGGATTTGTAGTGCCGGTTGAAGCTGTCGTTGGCGTAGCGCTGCACCAGCGAGGTTTTTCCCACCGTGGCGTCCCCCACCACCAGCACCTTGAACATCCGATCGCGCTGCCCCATCCCGGCCCGGCCCGGCCCCGCTCGGTCATGTGCGGGTCAGCTGGGACAGCGGCGGAGCCTCCCGGGGCTGCCGGGATCTGTAGTTCGCTGTCTTCCGCCGGAGCCCAGCCCCGGGCATCGCCTCATCCTGCCCTGCGCATCTTGTGTGTCAGCAGATCCTGCTCTGTGCACCCCGGATCCTGCTCTGTGCACCCCGGATCCTGCTCTGTGCACCCCGGATCCTGCTCTGTGCATCTTGTGTGTCAGCAGATCCTGCTCTGTGCACCCCGGATCCTGCTCTGTGCACCCCGGATCCTGCTCTGTGCACCCCCAGATCCTGCCCAGTGCACCCCAGATCCTGCTCTGTGCACCCCAGATCCTGCTCTGTGCATCTTGTGTGTCAGCAGATCCTGCTCTGTGCACCCCCACATCCAGCCCCCTGTACCCCATGTCCTGCACATCCCCTGTGTCCCCCAATCCTGTCCCCTGCACCCCCAGATCCAGCCCCAGAGACCCCTGTACCCTCCTATCCAACTGCAGCACCCATTCATCTGACCCCTGTACCCCTGAACCTCTGTAGCCCTGTACCCCTGAACCCCTGTACCCCTGAACCCCTGTACCCCTGAACCCCTGTACCCCTGTATCCCTGTACCCCTGAACCCCTGTACCCCTGAACCCCTGTACCCCTGTATCCCTGTACTCCTGA